AGTGTATATCTTAGATCAGGACTATTCATCTAAACTGCTCAGGGGCCGAACACCCATCAGTTGAAAGTCATTATGTCAAAAAACCATGTTTTACAATGATCTGTTACCTTTTAAATGTGTTTCTTTTATTGCATTGAATCATAAATTCAATAAACAGAACCCAAACCCCTCCCACACATTTTTTTTAATATGAAGTCATTGACGGGCCAGACTGAAGTCACCTGTGGGCCGTAAATGGCCCGCGGGCCGCCAGTTGAATAGGCCTGTCCTTATATACTGTTTCTTTCTATACTTTATATTTTTGCTATTTTTGGGTGTAACTGGGACCTTGAGTACAAAATTTCGTTCCACCTCATGTACCACATGTGATGCAAAAGATAATAAAGAACCTTGAACTTAATGGTGTTAAAGATTAAATGCTACTCGATCTCAAGATGCTTGAAATTAAGCAGAGAACGCAAAAATAAATTTGCATCCTCATACAAATACAAATTTAAAAAATGTAGCAACTGTCCATGTTTAAGGCTCTTTAGTTTGTGTTTTGCTTCTGAACTCAGCAGATTCTTATCTCTGCGTGTTGTGTGTTAATAAAAGAACAACATGTGGGACATCGTCTCCGTCTCACCAAACCATGTGATGTGTTTGTTGTCCCAGGTCAGAGTCTTCTTGCTGCCAGCATCCATGGCTCCTTTGCACGGCATCCTCCACAAAGTGTTAACGTGAGCGCCGACGTTGAAGTCGCCTCGCCTCAGCAGGCGCAGGCCTCCGAAGCTCTCTTTAGCTGTAAAGACACACACAGCTCAGACTGGTTCGGCTTTCATTAGACTTCATCTCGTTTGCAGACACCCCCTCCGTATCTCCTACCTTCAGGCAGGTACATGTACACAAACAGGTTCTTGTCTCGGTCCGACACTGAAAAAAAACAGCTCAGTGAAGAAGAGTTTGATTCAAGTATTCAAGCTTCTGCCAAAGATGGAGGAACGTTACCCAGAAACCCCAGCTGGTTGTTATCCACCATGAACTCGACGCTGTACACCTCTAAGGGTTTTGCATCCTGTTACACAAACAACAGGGTGAGGAGCAGCTGGCAGAACACCTCCTGCGACTCTGAGCTCACAGCTTACCCTGCTCACGAGTGACAGCGTCTTGCTCTCCTCCTGGTAGCGCAGAAGAGAGATGCTCCTCATCAGGTCGGCTGCCGGGATGAAGTTCTTGATGCTGATCATCTGGTGGATGTAGAGCTGTGTGTCGATGAAGGCCATGCCTGTCAAGTCGTTGTCTTTCAGGGCCCACAGGAAGATCTGAGGGAACATGTTCTTACACGTTAAAGGTTTCACACGAACATCTAATGTTCATGACAGCGTTGGGGCTGATTTGGTCAAACCTTGCAGACGACGTGTTGCCTGATCTCATGTGATTTTAGGAGAACTCTCAAAACCTTTTGGTGCACGGATAATGTGTTTTTAAAACTGAGTCAGAGCCAGTTTGTGTTGGCTAAGGATGATTAGCTGTGGACACCAGGCTGGCTTCATACTGAAGCTCTTTATCTGGCTGCACTTCAAAGAGTTCAGGAACGAGGCTTTGTTTATGGGTCAGATGGAGCCGCCTCCGTTTCTTGTTGTGATTAATAAGATGCTCACGCTTCATGACACATGGTTAGTGTGTGTGTGTGTGTGTGTG